AATGACGCGGAGTACCGTACGTGCCCCCATACAAATACCTCTTCATATCATAACTGACTCTCCACCATATGCCTCTTTTCAGGCTTTAGACAAAATCTGGACTCCTCTGTGAATAGAACTTGACTCCAAGCTTTGCTATTCCAATTTTCGTGATTGCTGGCAAAATTAACTCGAGCTAGTAGATGTCATACGGCAAGAAGGTGGACCTCTAGCAGACAAGTGTGAATTTATTCCGTCCGATTTCAGTCTTTTTCTTACAGTTTTTGTGCTTACTACAACCCTCAAATTTCTTGGAGCCTCGTTGTTAACTCAAAAGAAGTTACGGTTTTCTTTTTACGTCCCTGTCCTGCTAGTCTCGTATACTGTCCGGTTTGCGGATACCTTTTGACAACTCGGTATAGTACATATTTCGATACTCGTGATCTTTGGGCCACATGTTCGTAGGTGTGCCCAGTTTCAATTAAAATAAGAGCCCTAGCAACTTTAGTAGCGTTTACATCTGACATTTTCAGTTTATTTGCAGTAACAATTCACACTTAAGACTTTTTCATGTGGTGAAGCCACGCTGCAACTATATTATGGTTGTAGCACGAATGGGTAGGCTCGAACGAGGAAGGACCACACTCTATTTTATTTTATTATTCACAGAATACCAGCGTAAAATAGCAACTTTATGCTGCTCACTTTCGTACGGTGAATGTAAAGAACCGGACACCCTTTTTGCTGAAAACGAGGCATCTTAGTCCTCTGGTGTGACAACGCATTTGTATTTTGATTCTTACTCGAGGATAAATATAGATATCTATGAGCTACAGCATCCACTTACCATCAGGTGGACTGCGTATTTATTTGTCACCTTTATTCTATAAAAAAATACCACTTAACATGATAAACAAGGCAGACAAAGCAAAAATTTTAAAAAAAAATTTGTTAGACGAGTGTAATATATGTAATGTGTACATTAAAATCTTTCTTACTAAATTCTCTAAACGATAGTGAAACTGTTCCTAAATCCATTTGTAATCCAAAAGTTTTAAGGGGAAATTACGCTAGAAATATAGTTCGATTTGGAAAATAGTATTAATGATATGGCTTAGCAAGATCCTCCGTTATGCCGAAAATTTTACAGCATTAATTTTGAAATAAATATATGGCAAGAGGACAGTGGCGAAGCTAGGGCTCCAAACTAAGGCAAGTCCAAGATATGGTTTTGTTGTTTTTAGCAGTTTAATAAAAATACACCAATCTTGAGCTGTCTCTACTCTTTAGTTTCATATTCAGTGCTGTCAAAGACGTGTTTAACAAAGCACACAGAAAGCATACTACCGCTAGATAGATTGTATGACATAATATGCAATTGCACACCTTCGGTGGTTTTGAAAAAAGCCGTTTGGGTTTGCTTGAGATATTTACAAACAATACAATACATGAACAAAAGAAAAGCATGAACAAAGTACAAACAAACTATGTACAAAGTTAAAAAAGGGACGCCTGGCAGATGTGAAACCTCGAAATTATTTTGTTTAAGTTATATGCATAAAAGAACATATTACGACAGGAATTAGATAGTTATAATGAGAAGATAAAGCTTTGTTTATTTTTTACCATAAAATAATGACTATTTATTATATAATTATTCATTTTCAATTCATAATAAACCGTACAAAATTATATTTTTAAACTCATATTATGGTAATATAAATTAGCCGATAGCGTATTTGTGCCATCTAGCGTAATCTTTAGGTACCATCGTGAGAATCAACCAATTTTCGTTCGATAAAATGACTTTACCTGTAGAATTAAGTAGATGGCGCTATTAAAATTTTATATACTGGAAATAACTAAAGGGAGTATTCTTTAAAAATCTCTTCTCTCTTTAAAAACATTCTTCTGTATTCTTTTGATTTATTTCATTAAAATTTGGGCTTCACGTTAAAAAAGATTGTAACACTTATTTCCTCTAAAATTAAACCTAGGTCTCATACTTTATGCTACTGTTCAAATTGATATTTTTAATTCGTATGGTAATATAAATATTGAGTTATTAAACCTTTAAATACGCCTAACTTAATTAAACTTTAATACTAAAGAGTCCTGTACCTATATTTATAGTATGAAGAAATGTTTATTGAATATTAAATTTCATTTTTAAACATCTTACCTTTTCCTCGCCGATTAGCACTTCAACACACTTATATTCATCACAATGAACACTATTATCCTCCCATTGTCACTGAAAATCTTTGAAAAAGCATAAATTTTTAACAAACACAACAAAAACAAACATAAACATTGAAATGTGAAGTGAACTTGCATACGAATGGCCCGCATCCCATTCGCTAGTCGCTAAAGCACTCCAAAACAACTTCATAGCAAAGCCAGGCTTGTGGCCCAATAGTAATTGCTATATAAACATTTCGTAGTTATATTTAATTATAGAATATTTTGCCATAGGTTAGAAAAAGAGCGATCATCTTCTCGAAAGCCCCGTAAAAAGCCCACGCGAGCGAGGAAGACAACTAATCGCTCTATAAAAACTCACTTTTTATGACAGCAGCAGTATCGCTTTATACAAAGGTACTCTGTGAGTATCGCTAAGGCAATAAATACGAGGTCATCGGTCGACATGTGTCGAACAGTGGAGTGCGCGGGAAAATTGAAATAATTTGAAACAGTTTATGAGTTATTTTATTAGTTGATATTATTGATTATATTATTTATTCAGTTTTAATAAGGCAAGCCCGGCTTTTCGGCTTTTATAGAAGCTTCGCCACTGTAAGAGGATTAATGTTAAGTACTATGTTAGACGAAAACACGATTCCGTAATTTTTTATCGATAGAAAAACAATCCAAACTTACCTCCAAACTGAACAATAAACCGCTGGTATTCATAAAATACTTTAAATTAGATCATGATACTTTGCATACTAACTGAACCATTATTTTTACTAGGAAAAGAAATTACCTAAACTATCGGCGTCTTGAAGCTTGTTTCCTGTCGCCCGATCAGTCTCCATCAGTCTCGCTTCGGCTTAGAACTTGAACGGGAAAGCTTACGATCAGAATACACATTACGCAACAGGACGACGTAAAATTAAAATTGGAAATAACCGTGATAAAAATAGGAAGCGAATGGGTTGGCGTAAAGAAACAGGCATAAATATGTTAAACCTAATGAAATAAGTGTCTAACGAGCTATCTACTTACAGTATTAATTTTTAATTTTTATTAATTAAGATTACGAACATGTCGATACATAGCATACGACGCGCAGGGAAGTGGGGGCGAAATTAGAATATAAGCGCCACAAAACCTTAAGCGCCATCAAGGGCAGATGAACTTTATTTAAGCTGTTTAGTGAGAAATATCTCAACATTCTTAACAAACACGAAACTGCTTTAAGGTGAAGTGGGTGCCAAAAGCAGATTTTTCACGCTTTATACGTGCGTAGAAAGTCAATTTTTTGTCATTAAAAACTACGAATTCCATTTTTTCAAAAAAGTTAAAGATTTTTCTAGTGAACTATAGCGTACAAAACACGATTGACACATTTTGGTTTCCTCAAAATCTACAATTTTAGGTGCGTTCGTTAAGAAAAAAGTAGTTTCATTCGAATGTAATGAAATTAATTTCAATTAAATTCAGGCTATGTATTCCCCAGTAAATACGTGAGTGAATTGTGGGTTTATTTTTCAATGAATTTAAATATTGAAATATTGTGCGATTAAATAGCGCGCGGGCCTACACTTATAAAATATAATATAATAAATAGAATGTAATTAAATAATCGTACACTTTTGTTTAGTAAATAAAATATATATATATATATATATATATATATATATATATATATATATATATATATATATATATATATATATTCGATCATTCAATATTTATCATGGAGTACCGAATTCGTATTAATTTCGATATATTTTAAAATGTATTAATAATCAAAACACTAAGCAACAAAAGAAGCTACAAAAACATTTATGTGTCGTTGTCGTTTATTTTTCGTCATACAACTGTCCAGTTATACCATTTTGAGCCTTATCGTACTACATTATGCAAAACATAAAGATGTATCGATATTCATCACCTGAATATATTGATATTGTTTAAAAATATCGATACGATATATATCGTTATAATTTTTCACTTGCTCTTCCCTACTCGTCGCTATTGCCACATGAGTAGATAATAAACGGAATATTGCTAGCAGCTAGCCGGGCACGCGAGGGACCCCGTTTGTGTTAAAACTTACGTGCATACGATAGCATTTCGTCTTAAAAAGTTAAAGCTTAATCTAATTGCGTTAGACGTCTGAGCACAGACCTTCTTTCTTATGTGAGAAGGTAAATGGAACAGTTTATCCCCCGCGCTGCTACAATTTTTTTAAACTATTTAAGCCAGTATTTGACTTTCATCCCAACTGAGGGTACTTAGTGGCGGACTTTTTTGTACTTGAAATATTTTTATTACTTAGATATGTTTTTCTCACGATAAATTAGGTGAGATCATAATGATGTGATTTCACCGCCGAGCACTTGTTAAATCGCCATCGTTACAATTAACAATGACGTTACGTACGCACGTTACGTAATTACTAGCTGAATTAACAAAGACAGTTTCATGGTGCTGTGGCTTGGCAAAGGTTGGAATCCCGCGCAGGTCAAGTATATCTGGAAAATCCTAGTGTGGGAATAACGATTTTTTAAACAAAACAAAATAATTTTAGTGGTGCTTGTAGAAGTTGAACAGAGATTTTTCGTGCACTGTGAACCTTAGAGTGCTTAAAAGTTAAAACCCTTAAGCAACCATTAATTAGTTTAATTTAGAAAAAAAACTGTATTGTACTGTTCTGTATTTGCCAGTTCTTTTATAGTCTAACGATATGTTTGATACAAATCTACACAATATTTCAAAACTAATAAATTATTTATTTTTGTTTGTTTTATACATATGTTTGGTTTAAATAACTATGACCGCTTTTATTTCAGAAACACCCTTAACAATAGCGGCTGGCTTAAAATCACCTGGCAAAGTCCTAATAGCCCTTGTGAATGGTGGTGCTTTACTCGACTACCGAACGAAAGATGGCAGTACAGCTATGCATCGGGCAGTAGAGAAAAACTCATTAGAAGCAGTAAAAACACTTTTAGAACTAGGAGCGTCACCGAATTATAAGGACAGCAAGGGATTAACACCTTTGTATCTGTCGGTTACCTATAAAACGGACCCATTATTGTGCGAAACGTTATTGCACGATCACGCAACTATCGGTGCTACGGATCTGCAAGGGTGGCAAGAAGTACATCAGGTTTGTTGTTCATTTTAAATATAATGATTTGAAGATTACTGGCGTTAATTTTATAGATTTTTTTTCTATATATGGTATTTAAATGACACACGAGTTATCTATTAGCTAGAGCTGGGCTACGTGATGGTAAGAGAGTACTTAAGACCACGGACACCTCCAACTAACTTCAAGTTTAAAAACGGCACGGATGCGTTCCCAACTGCGAGGTCTAAGATGTAAAATGCCTCACAGTAATTATACCATTTTTGTACACTCGAACTGTGGACTGTTTCTTGGTTGCAAAAATAGATAAGTAGTTGAACCGGATGAACGCCTAGAAGGAAAAGACGCCTTTTTCCACTTTTTATACTTTTATAGAACTGAAGTAACAAAGGAACTCACAGTCTACCTGATGATTAATGGCTTCCACAACGGACAGACACTTGTAGCCAACTACTATCAAAGAAAGCTACGGATGCGTTGTACCCCCTAAGGAGTAAGATACCACGCCGCAAAAGATCTAACACTCTTAAAATTATTGTTTTATTTAACACTAACTGATGCTCGCTGGGCGCACGGTCATAGACGATAATAACGACGTACATATAAAATATCAAGTATTTTTAATGGGACTATCGTAATATTCGTTTTTAGGGAACGTCTACATTACGAAATGAGTAAGATAATTTTGCATAAATTTCATTATAACGTGGTGGAGCCATACGGCTATATTATGGTTGTTGCACGAAAGGGTCGGCTGGAGCGGGGAAGGACCATCCTCTCACAGAATACCAGCGTAAAATAGCAGCTTGATGCTGCTGTGTTTCGTATGGTGAGTGTAGAGAACCAGAGACCCATTTTAGTGGAATTGAGCCATTCCATCATAGTCCTCAAGGGTGACAACGCTTCTGCATTTTGATACTTAATCGAGATTAAATGTAAGATGTCTATGGACCACAGCATTCACTTACCACAGGTGGACTGTGTTCTAGTTTGCCACCCTAATTCTTTATACAATATCCATAAACACTCACGCCTGTCACTTAAAGGGGTAGGCAGAGACTACAGATTTCCATTTGGCACGATCCTGACACACCTCTCTCGCCTCCTTCACATCCATACACCTACGCATACATGCTCGTCGGTAAAGGGTACTCCTAATTTGGCCCGTTTCCAATAAATCGCCAATTTGGTCGATAAATTTTCGCCTAGGATGTCCCTTTCCGACTCTGCCATTCACTTCTGCAACATAAATTTTCTTTGTCACTCTTTCCTCATTCATTCTTTCCACATGACCAAACCACCGAAGCATTCCTTTCTTAATTCTGGTCACAACATCATCTTGCAAACCACACTCTTCTCTTATTACACAATTTCTTACCCTGTCATTCAGATTTAGCCCTAACATACTCCTTAACGACCGCATTTCTACTGCGTTTATTCTACTCTCGTGCTTCTTCTGCCACACCCAACTTTCACTACCATACGTTAAAGTAGGGACCAACACAGCATTGTGAATTGCCATACGTGCCTTTTTCGACACATTTTGACTCTTCTCAATAGAGTGCAAGGCCCCATTTACTCTATTTCCCGCATTCACTCGTCGTTCTATATCCTTATCATATCTCCCATCCCTGCTAAATACGCAGCCCAAATATACAAACTCATCTACTTGCTCGATCAACTCCCCCTTCTATTCTTATTTCACAAATCGTTTTACTTTCTTCTCTTTCAAAAACCATAACCTTCGTCTTACTTGCGTTCACTTTCATACCCCTTTCTTTTAATGATCCGTTCATTAATGTAACCATCATTTGCAACTCGGCCACCGACGACGCAAGAATGACTTGATCATCGGCGTACAAAAGGCATTTGACGGTTAACTCACCCATTCTTAATCCGCATTCTTCAACTTTCAAATTTTGCAAACAACTGTCCATAAATAGGTTGAACAGCCACGGGGAAGCCACACAGCCCTGTCTGACACCTTTATGGATGTCAAACCAGTCCGAGTAGACCCCGTTGATCCTAACACAAGCACTAGAGTCCCTATAAAGAGACTCCAATGCCTGTATCAAGCCAGCGCTCAACCCAAATAAGTTCAGTGTTTGCCATAGCAAATCCCTATCCACTCTGTCATAGGCCTTTTCCAAGTCCATGAACGCACAAAAAACCTTTTGGTTTTTGGCCAGAAACTTCTCCGCGATCATGCGCATGGAAAAGACTTGATCTGTACATCCCATTCCCTTTCTAAATCCCGCTTGCACATCCCAAATTTTTCTATCAGTTTCTTTCATGACCCTTTCAATCAGTACCTTAGCGTACAGTTTTCCCACAATGCTAAGAAGGCTGATGCCACGGTAGTTTTTACAGTCCCGCTGCGACCCTTTTCCTTTATATACTGGGACTATCACGGCTTTGCACCAGTCTACCGGTACCCGCTTCAGTTCCCAGCATAAATTAAACAAGGTGTGCAGCAGGCCTGCCACCACCTCCTCTCCAGCCCTTAGCATTTCGAGTGAAACTCTATTATATCCGGGCGCCTTACCCGCTTTCATGCTTTTCATTCCTTTCATTATTTCATCTATACTTATCTCGCTACCTCTTTCCTCTTTTTTCGGAGTTTCTACTTCACTTAGTACACATGTTGTCTCCTCACTCATAAACACGCTTTCAAAATATTCCTTCCATCTCTTTAAACTCAAAACTTCATCATTCAGAATATAGCCATTCTCGTCTCTTATAGCATTCATCATAGGCTGTTTTGAATGTCCCCTGGCAGTTCTTACCAGTTTCCAGTACATTTTAATATTTGCCTGGAAGTTTTCCGATATTCTTCTATCATTCTTATCCGTTCTTTCTTGCTTTTTTCTTTCAACTACTTCTTTTACTCTCTTATTAAGATGTCTAAAGACCGCCTTTTTTCTTTCAATATCATCATTCGTACCGCTAGAATTACCAGCCTTTGTTGCTAGTAAATCTAGCCATGCTTTCTTCTTTGCTTCAACTTCCATACGTATCTCATCATCCCACCATAACGTATTATTTTTCCTTTCATTCTTTCTCTTACTAACACCACATACTTCGATAGCTGCATGCACTAAACCTTTCTTTACATTTTGCCATACATTCTCCAAGTCTAACTCCTTCATACATAATTCATCCAAACCACTTATATTTTCTTTTAGTCTACATTTGAACTTGTTTCTCTCACCTTCATCTTGCAACCTTTCTGTTCTAATACGCTGTAACGCAGTGGTAGACACAGATGAACGATGACGCCAACGCCTGAATAGACCATTAATTCGGCATAAAACCAAATAATGATCCGTTCCTACGTTAGAACCCCGGTAAACCCTTGTATCCACCACTGCGCCCCTCAATCTTTCATCCACAATTATGAAATCTATCATGCTTCTATCGTCACCTCTTTCCCAAGTATACATGTATCCTCTTGTGGCGAAAGCAAGTGTTCGTCACAAAAAGATTCTTTTCCATACATACGGTGAGGAGACTTCACCATTCTCATTTATACTTTCATCACCAAACGTTCCCAATATCCTTTCATAACCAGCAATATTTTCATTTCCCTTACACTTCATTAACACCATCCTTACCATTTCCCAAAACTGCTCTCGGATATAAGTGGGCTTAGACATGTCTGGGGCGTAGACCCCTAACACGAACAACTTCTTTAAGCCCACTTTCATTCGTATCCATAGCAGTCTTGGGCTTACACATTCATACTCTTTCACACATTCGCCCATTCTTTCTGAAAGGATGATACCTACTCCCTGGCATGCTCGATCGATCTCGTCTACACCAGACCAGTATGCGGTATACATGCCATGTGTAGTGACATCCTTCCCCTTCCTTTTCGTCTCATATACACATATACACATATATCCTCTATCATACATCATATCGCATACTTCATCCATTTTATCATTCATTGCCCCACATACATTCAACGTAGCCAGACGGGCCTCTGCAATCCACTTTTCGCCTCTCCGGGAGACAGAACGTGACGGGTGGCGAACCTCGTCGCCGGTTTTCCTCCCGTATCGCCATCTTTATACGTATATAATAGATTACTCGCTCTACACTCCATAATTTATCAGAATAAGGCTGCCGCTCGAAAACCTTTCTTACCCAACGGTTGTCGATTCTTCGACCTATACAGCCAGCCCATTAACACTTCAACTTACTGATTCCTTTTAGCCAACTTCAACAAAATGAGGTTTACAATCCGACAGTGGGTATGTGTTTTTCAGTTCATCAACTGTGAATCTATTTTGATGATTGATTTTGTATGAAGTAGTAATATACCTACTATATACCTGGTCCCATATAAATTGATGAAAGTTTGCTCCTCAAAGGGTATCAAAATTGATGAGAGTAAGAAATTTACTTTTAATTAAAAAAATACCGCTTTCTACAGCAAATTCATGTTTTGAACGTTTGCTGTATAATATACTAAACAGAAGAAACTGCATTTTAAAGAAAACAAAAAAAGGAGAAGAAAAACAAAAGACGGTTGCGTGACAGCCACATAATATCGTTTTTAAATAAAACTAACTCAATACTAAAACATAAACTTATAAGTTAATTTTTTACCGACTTCAAAAAGGAGGAGGTACTCAATTCGACTGTATTTTTTATGTGTCAGAACCACAGACTCCTCAGACCTCAGAACATTTTTCTAGGTGAACTGATTTTGATGATTCAAAAAAGAATTTGAAAGCTGGTGCTTCTCACATGGTCCCATATAAATTTGATCAAGATCTGATCTTTGAGTTATTCTTAATACGTATTTAATTGACTTCGACTACATTGATAATATTCTCATTTTATTTACATTAAAGTTGGTTGTACAAAACTTTTAATTTTACAACTTGTTGGCTATTTCGTTTACTTTAATTCTGCGGATATCTTCACAACGGATTCTCTATCACGCTAGATGGAGTGACGTCTGGACCGTATCTTGTGGGATATACGTCGATATACCTTGGCTTATGTCCAAAAAATAGACTTTTGAGAGACTATTCGATAAAAATTTCAGGCATGCCGCAACGGTCTCGTCCAGCACCTGGACCACCTGCTGTTCTACGGCGCGGACATGAACGGACGCAACGCGTCGGGCAACACGCCGCTGCACGTGTGCGCCGTCAACGCCCAGGACTCCTGCGCCCGCCAGCTACTGTTCCGCGGCTGCGACAAGGAATCGCTCAACTTCGCCAATCAGACCCCCTATCAGGTAATACAGCCAAGATGTCTATTATATACTAACGTGTATATTGGAAACACAAACATAAAATTTTAAATGTACATTGAAGGATGTATATTAATTTCATTTGGTCTATGCTGTCAGTGGCGTCCAACTGTACGGTAGATATTATTGTCGTGTGTAGTGTGTACCCGCCTTAGCCGCGAGCACTTTACAATTTTTGTAAATGGTAATTTTATTTTCCCTATAATTTATTGTTCGATTTTATAATTAATCAATAAACGATTATCGAAATAAGAACATGTTATCGTATGTGATTATCAATGTTAATTTATACGTATTTATTGATATTTTACTTTACAAATAAGTTAGTGGAAAACTTAAAAGATACTTAGCCAACTAGACTTAGCAGTGCCAAAGTTCTAACAGTAGACTGACCTCATCATATTAAAAGCTACTCGAATAATAATTATGGAATAAGATTTAAATCTTTCCAAATAAACAAAACACATATCTTATGTATTCGTTTTTATATTATCAAACGAGTAACAGTACAAGGAGCAACAAAAAATGGCACATAGTTACAGTTACTGAAATCCACGGACGTTATTATCAATCTTGAAGTCCAATACGAAATATCTCTTATTCTTCAAACCGACACACAGTAGTAGTACTGCTGTTTGGTGACAGAAATTAGTAAGACCCCCCAAAGAAAACCACCACACAGTAAAAATCAATAATATTTATGTATTTTTAGGCGTAAAAATATTACAGCTTTCCTAACACTGCATCTTTCTTTAACCGTGATGTGAGAAATTCTATGTCATCATAATTTCAAAATTTAGTATTAAGGCAACTAAATGTGCCTTATGACTTTTGTATAAACTTTATATTTTATTTGGTTTAGGTGGATATAGTCTTTAACAATTCTATTTCAACTAAACGGTAAACAGAAGGTTTCCTTTCACTTTCAGGTAGCAGTTATAGCTGGAAACTTAGAATTAGCAGAAGTTATAAAGAACTATAAAACGGAAGAAGTCGGTGAGTTCAACTGTTTATATGGCGCATGGTTTTGGCTGCCGCTTCTTAAATTTATACTATGTACTTAATTCTCAATTGAGTCCTATATTTTTATTACGTATATGTATTTTTTGATACTTGCAGTTGCTTTTACATCAAACCATATTGTTGTTAGTTGATATTACTCAAATATACTATTATATTATTATTAGAAATCATATATCCCTAATGACATGCAAATTCCATACATACATACATAGCATGTTTTCATACGACTTTTATATTTTAGCTGTTTCTCTTTATATTCCATTGCTTTTTATAATGGTGATGGTTGTATATTTTTGGATTATAATAGGTCTATTACGTAATATAATACAATATTATAGTAACGTTTATCGATTGTTAAACGCACACATAAACACACTAATTTGTACTATGACTGTGTATCTTGTGTAAAAAATGTAATATTATATGTATCAATTTTATATATGTTGTGTCATTCTCAATCAATTAGTTTTATGTTTGGTTCGTCGCACGATTATCAATTTTTTTTTTTTTTGGTTCTATGTCTACGTTTAATATTTCTTTGAGAGCACTTCAATCTTCGAGCCAACTTTTGAGTTGTGATTCCGATTGGTTTCCGCTCGTTTAGTTTGTGTATTAGTTTCGGGTGGTTAACGGATCGTTTTCAGTGCCTTTCCGCGGACCGCCCCGATACAATCCGAAGCGGCGGTCTGCGGCGTGGGGCGGCTGGTGGCGCGCCGGCGACCGCTCGTCGCTGGCCTCGTCCACGCGCATCCCCGCTGACCTGGACGTGCTGCTGCGCCGGCCGCCGCTGCACCCGCTGCCGCCCGGCTCGCCCTGTAGCATCCAAAGACCGTTTTCCTCTGCGTCCTCGAGCCTAAGCGACGCGAGCCACCCGAGTCACGAGGACGACGCCAGTATACTCACAGGTAACTGCCGGCCGAGCTCACCGCTCGCTTGCACACGTGGACACGACACGTGCCGAGACAACCATCACCATGCATCGACCTCACTGACCAATGTCACACAGACTGCATGTTCTATGTTTTTTCAATTAGATGTTTTCATATTTCTCACGATCCGCTTCATCGCTTTCTATTCCTTTCGGACGTGTTTGTTTTTGTTATTGACTATTTATTTAGTTCCTATTGTAACCAGTTTGCCGCAAGAACTCACGCTACTTTAAATGGAAAAAGTTTTAAAATTAGCGCAAAATAGCAAAGTAATTCCAGGCACTCACGTTTAGTAAAAGTTTCCTATGTGTTTAAACCATTAACATGTTAGCCTTACAAACATCTAGTACTAAATTTAAAAAATATATAATCTGTAATATCCAGGGTGGCGTTAACGAGGTAACAATAAATGAAATCTTGATTATTCTAGTTCAAAAAAACATCATAAAATAAAAAATCTTGGTGTTTTGTAAAAATTAAAAATAACATTCTTTTCATATTCTTTTAAAGGAATTAAAAAACGTTGGTAACAGTGCTCATAGGGGATAAAAACTTGATGTTTACTTTGTTTAAAATTTACCTGACGAATAAGGTAAATTTTTCTGCATCTGATTCAGCTAAAAAGAATAATAAAATAATCATCACGTTATCTCTGTCTGAAATGTAATGATTTCTGATACTCACACGAATACTAAACATCGAATAAAGCTAATTTAACGGGTTTTTATCGCGTGTCTTTATATTTATTTTTAATTAAATTTATTTAAAGCGCGTGTTTGAGCAAAATGCCGCGCTAGTCGTTATTATGTGAGGTTTTTAGGAGCTATCAACTTGCTATTAAAAAGATGTGTCAACTAATAAAAAAATCGATTAAATTTCTACGCATTCATTCCATAATAGTCAATTCCAATTTTTTTTAAAGGAGTAAATATTTGATGAATTTATAACTAAACCACATAAATGCGAAATAATTGTTGATAACATGCGTCTCCTCATAAAGTAAGCATTATTATATTTTGCAAATTACACTAACGGATAGGCAATTTATTAATGAACATTTTGACCTATTTAATTTTTTCAAAGGACTAAAATTCGATTTTATAAAGAAAATATTCTAAAATTTGGGGTGTATTTCTTACGCAATATATTGTAGCGAGAACGCGCGGAGTGTAGAAGCATAGGCGGACCGAATGCTCTAAAGTCGTTCGTTAGGAGTAGCGCCTTAACTTTTTTTTAATTCTCGTCATTTCAGGTGCTTCAGTACCCATGGTCACAGGGTTCAGAGTTATGCACCTTCAGTTTTAGAATTTTATTTTTGGTCCGATATACGCAGAACCGTAAGATGTTCTACTTCAATTAAAAAGTAACCTTACAACCTTTATTCGTCCCACTGTCGGGCACAGATATCTTCATATTTCTGTGAGGGTTCTTTTTTGTAACAGGTAATAATGGGTTGTGCTGCCCTTCTGCGTGTTTACAAACTCAATTTTATGTTATTTACTTCAAATTTTAGGTCTAATTTTGCTCTCACCGTTTTTATTTACCATAAAGTACGTGGTATATTAAATTTATAAGTGCAATAACCATTTTGTTGCGTTTGGCGCACTCCTTCCGTTATTAATCTATCAATTTGATAATGTACGTACCTATAATCTCTATGCAATCAATTATTGAAAACCTGTCTTTATGTTCCTGATATAGTGGTTCTTTTATGAACTAAAGAAGAACTTCTTTTTATGAACTAAAACTAATGGTGTGCTTTACAAATATACAGAATAATTTACTTTATTCGTTTAAGTATTAATAATTAATTTTTTTTATTAGGTTGCAGAAAATTTTATTAATCGTTAATATTCAAAATAATCAAAGTTTCTATGTGAACGAAGTCGCTGGCACAGCTATTAATTAGCTAATATAAATGCAAAGTCTAAGATGTCACCGAGACAAGTTCAAGCATGCTACTTCAAAATATTGAGATTAATATTCGAAAGCTGAAGGTAGCCGTGTTATGTACATTGGAACGTCAACTACCTCAGTTTTTTAGTGAACTATGTGTGCTCTAAAGCACATGAAACGTAGAGAATTAAAAGTAAGTTAAGTTAAGTTAAAAGTAACACGCGATAAAATTCGTATTTAATGTTTGGAATGTGTGAAAAGTAAAGGAAAAATGTTCGAAATTAGGCATAGACAAAAGGAAGTTGATCAACTAATACTTAAAGCGTTATTTCTTATTTTAGTGTATTTCCAAATGTTAAAAGTTGCTGTTCTTTTCCGTATTATCAAAATTATCTCTAAGATTTTTTTTAAATTATCTGGGGGCACGGCAGTGCACTAAGCAATCTAATTTATATAATATAATATGTATTACTTGTGAGATACATTGTGTTTTCATGCGATGGTCAAGTCAATCTGTATATTTAAAACATAAAAGATTTTTAACATTGATATGGTCACTATAAAATGTTGTTAGGTTAGCTAACTACGTAATAACTTAAAACAGAAGGACCCTTAAGTAGGAACTGAATAAATTAACCGACTTGGTATTACATGGATCTCACAACTTTTTACGGTAGAAGAACTGAGTTGCGAGAGTTGGTTGTTGTTGTAGTTGGTTAAAATTTCATTTATTGAGACATCGTCATCGTCACCCTGTACATCGACAGATGATAAATTTACACAGAATAAAGTAATTTTGGTTCTATGTAAAGTGGGTTGTTTTCAAAAGTGTGTTGAGTGCGTTATTGCGTGCTGGAGGCGATGGGGCACCGGCCACGGGGCACGGGGCACGGGGCACGTAGCGTTGTAGCCTAGCGCGGTGTGACAGAGGGCGAGCGCTGTCGACAGATAAGAGTGCGGGCGAGGCGAGCGACGTGGTGTCGGAGTCGAGCGGCGTGGGTACCAGCGCGTCGGACACGGGCAGCGCGCCGCCGCCCGGCGCCACCGCCGTGTGCGTGCGTGCGCACCGCCCGCCCGCGCCCCACGCGCACCCCGCCGCGCCTCATGCCCCCCGCCAGCTGTGCCTCGACCCCGGCGACGTGCTGCGAGGTAAGCTGACGTCGTCTCCAATCTGTTCCCACCCGACGCTGCTCAGCGGCCTCCTAGACCGTTACGAACTCACAGAATATGGCTACAGCTCTCTACACCGTTTCCCCGCTCACCATCGTCAACACGGAATCACTAAAAGAGTATTATGTTGTTAAAGGTAGATCGGATCTCATAATTATTTAAATATATATATATATATATATAATCGTATAATCGTGTATATATACTATATATAGAGATAGATGTTGTATATTAACTTTATTATTAATTAGTCGTCATCAAGCACTTTGGACTAAAAATTAAATCATTCCTCAATAACAAATGCTATCAACACCATGCATACCAAATTATTATTCACAATACTTCACCACTAACAATTACAAAATGCATTTGTGAAATAACTAAGTATTATTACAATTAATAAAGTATTTATTAATTTAATAGTTAATTTTAGAAACAATATCACATTTAAATCATTAAGTAAAACCACTTTTACGGATTTTATCATGTTTTTATTTCCCAAAATTTCGGAGGTTTTACAGCACCCGTAGTCACGAAACATTGGGAATTAAAAATATATAGAATTAAGCGCCATAAAATCCATAAAAGTGGTTTTATTCAATGTGTAGTGTTCGGCGTAAATGTAAGAAAACATTACATTCAAATCAGTTTGTTGTTGGAGTCCTAACAAATTTTAAAAAATTTCCAGTAACGGGTTGTACTGACGACGGCATGCTGGAAGGCACGATTCGAAGTACGGGCGCATCTGGACTGTTCCCCGCGCACTGCGTGCAAGAAGTGCGCTTGCGACAGAACAACGCACATTTACATCAAGTACGTTGTAGCTAATTAAGTGAGAAGCCCACATTAGTATTACACATTATTATTTCGGTCTTCACTAAAAATCAGCATTATGGTTTCAAACAAAGTCAAACAAATTGATTTAATACAAAGCCACATTCATTAAATCTTTGTATATTTAGGTTATACATTTGTATACTCTTGTGTGCGTCAATGGTCTATGTCAAAATAAAGTTTCTTTCTTTCATAAAGTATACAGAAGATTATTTATGTATGCGAAGAGAAATGCCAGTTCGCATAGAGCATAAAAACGATAAATTTAAATTTATTTCTTGTTTACGTCTGCGACTATTGTATGACAATTACAATCAATTTCGATTTGATTATATAAAAAAAAAAAAACAGGTGTGCAGTTCACACGCGGTTGAAGTTCATACGTGTCACGCTGCAGCTATATTATGGTTGTAGCACGAATGGGTCGGCTCGACCGGGGAAGAACCACACCCTCACAAAATACGAGCGTAAAATAGCAGCTTAATGCTAGTGTTTCGTATGGTAAGTGTAGAGATTCGGAAACCCTTTTTACTGGAAACGAGGTATTCCATCTTATTCCTCAGGGGTGACAACGTATTTGCGTTTTAATTCTTTATCGAGGGTAAATGTAGATGTCTATGGGACACAGCATCCACTTACCATCAGATGGACTGTGTGCTCGTTTCTCGCCCTTATTCTATAAAAGGAAAAAAATAGTGAAACCTTCAAGAGAAAACTAAACTTCGAGAGAATGAGACGAATGCAGAGTATCAGCAGGTTAATAATTGTAAGGTTTATTTATTATATAATATTGTTACCAAGTTTAAAGATTATTTAACATCTAACATAATTTAACATATTCTACATACAATATTAGATTATACATTATACAGACTTCAAGTTTTAAATTTTTACTGGATTCTATTTAATTCTCTTGCAGGTTAAATCCTATATGTTTGTCTCTTTTTAGTGTCGCTTTTTCGTTTCATCGAGCTTCAAATCACAAGATTCAAAAGAAATTGTTACTTCAAAAATCTTTGCATTAAATGTTTAAACAATAAATAAAATTTATGTTTAAACATTTATGTGAATGTGATGTGAATTTTTGCATTCTATGCTTCTAACATTTAAACAAAGTGCGACTGGTCTGTCAGGTGCTATCAACGGGACCAATGCACCACTCCCGCGTGACGGGACGCCGGGAGATGGCCCTCAGTAAAACCTACAGCGCGACCGCGCCCAGGATAAAGAAAAGGTGATTTTTTAAATCTATGTTTTAATATGGTTTCGATTTCCAGTTAGACTATTCATTTTTATTTAATTAAGTTAATAATTTTAAAAAACATTTTAAAAAATTAGGGCCACATTAGGAGTACCCTTAACCGACGAGCGTGTATACGTAGATATATGGATGTAAAGGACTCGCCTCCTTTGAGAGGAGAGGTATGTCAGGATCATACCAAGTGGAAGTCCGTAGTCTCTGCCTGCCCCTCTAGGGGACAGGCGTGAGTGTTTATGTTTATGTTATATAAGTAATTGAATTATTAATAATTATTTAAAGTTGGTATATTAGGAGAGTTTTTATAATTTATTATACTTACATTCAATTCCGTCCCCCATAGTGGCACTACTCCGGAGGCGTGGAGCAGAAGTGCGGTGGTCTTGTTCTTAAAGAAAGGCGACAACGCTCTCTTGAAGAACTACAGACCGATTTCCCTTCTGAGCCGCGTCTACGTGCTGTTTTCGAGAGTCATTACGAATCGTCTCGCACGCAGACTCGACGATTTCCAGCCTCCCGAACAAGCCGGTTTCCGAAAAGGCTTCAGTACCATAGACCACATACATACCCTGCGGCAGATTGTACAGAAGACCGAAGAGTACAATCTGCCACTTTGCCTGGCGTATGTGGACTATGAGAAAGCCTTTGATTCCGTCGAAATTTGGGCGGTGCTACAGTCCCTTCACTGGTGCCAAGTTGACTGTCGGTATATCGAGGTGCTGAAGTGTTTGTACAGTAGGGCTACGATGACTACCCGAGTACTGAACCAGAGTTCGAAACCTATCCAACTGCAGAGAGGTGTAAGACAGGGTGACGTTATATCCCCGAAACTCTTCACCGCTGCGTTGGAAGACGTTTTCAAGCTACTGGACTGGAAAGGATACGGTATTAACATCAATGGCGAGTACATCACTCACCTTCGATTTGCCGACGATAGAGTCCTTATGGCAGAATCGCTGGAGGACCTTAGCACTATGCTCAATGACCTCAATGGTGTCTCCGAACGGATAGGTCTTAAGATAAACATGGACAAAACAAAGATTATGTTCAATGTCCATGTCACACCTATGCCGGTAGTTGTGGGGAGCACTATGCTCGAAGTTGTTGACGAGTACGTTTACCTGGGAAAATAATCTGAAAACTAAAGTGTACAACCAGTGCGTGTTTCCAGTGATGACTTACGGATCAGAGACGTGGTCCTTCACTGCTGGCCGTATGAGGACGCTCAAGGTCGCTCAGCGAGCTATGGAGAGGTATAGCTCGGAGTTTCTCTGCGTGATAGACTCAGAAATGAGGATATCCGCAGTAAAACCAGAGTGACCGACATAGCCCAACGGATTAGTAAGCTGAAGTGGCAATGGGCCGGCCATATAGCTCGAAGAACCGAGTACCGATGGGGAAGAAAGGTTCTCGAGTGGCAGCCTCGTACCGGTAGGCGTAGTGTAGGGCGACCCCCACTAGATGGAGTGACGACCTGGTAAGACATGCAGGAAGTCGATGGATGCAGGTGACTCAGGACCGTGCTTTGTGGCATTACTTGGGAGGCCTATGTTCAGCCGTGGACTTGTGAAAGGCTGTAATGATGATGATGACATTCAGTCAGGATAATTCACATTAATGATCATGTATTCTTTGTTTTTTAATATCATAAATCTAGAAAATTATTTATCAGGCTTGAATAATTCTAAATCTATAATTATAATTAGAATATAAGTATAATTAGAAATATACTTATAGTGAAATAGGTATTTGCTAATTGTATCATATTGTGAAATATGTTTGGAAATTCGAGTATATATGTATATATATAATTATATGTTTTAGTAATATATATAATATATATATATATATATATATATATATATATATATATTAACTAAAACATATAATTAGTTTTTTTATAGGAGAGGGGGCAAACGAGCATACGGCTCACCTGATGATAAGTGATTACCACCGCTCATGAACACCTGCAACACCAGGGGAATTGCAGATGCGTTGCCAGCCTTTTAAAAAGAGGTTTACTTTACACGCATGCTTGAAGGTCCCTAAGTCGTATCGGTCCGGAAAAATCTATGGTGGTAGTCGATTTCACAAGAAAGTTGTGGGAGGAAGAAAACTTCTTTTAAATCGCACAGTGGCGGACCGCCATTTAATCTTTTGCAATTAGATTAAACATTATTGACTGAATCAAACATGCTTTTAATTCAATTTAATGATATTCTAGGTATCTAATATATTTTTCAATGTACCAATAACCAATAAACGAAGTAGCGAGCGAAAGGCTAGTTCAAAAATAAAACAACAGCCCAGTACTTTCGTGCGCGAGTGTACTCAAGCGCAAACACGCCCTCTTCACTTTCTTACAGCGTTCTTTTTACATAATGCGTACTATACAATAGTTTATTTGCAAGTGCACTCTCTATTTCGTAGTCAGTGTTGCCGTTTATAGCGCTTTTTTAAATTTAAAAATTTTTAATAAAAAAAGCGCTATAGACCCTAGAATTGCACTAGATCTAGCGCGAAATGCGCTGAAACAGCAATTTGTATTCCGATAAGGCGGTAATCCGACACGACAAAAATTTCTGGAACAGGACCAACGACTTTACATGCGTTCCTATGCACCAAGGTAAAACACCGCCACCTTCCTAAATCCTGGAGATACTGAGATTTTCTTGACAGGAAAAGATTTTTAGGCCCGTCCTGGGATTTAAACTCGGGTAGCTCATGATTAGCAAATGCGTTTACGGCCACTTGACCAACGAGACAGCCAAATGATAACACTGGTCGGCAAAAAAAATAAAAATCCGGGAGCAAAAAGTTTACTATGTGATTTCTATTGGCTTTGATTTGTTGAGTCCAAATCTGTTTAAAGATTTCAACTATCAGCTTTTCAGATATTTACATTTAAATAAAATATCGGTATTGATATATATATTAAATATGTATATATTTTAGAACGAAAAAATTTACACTGATTGATGACTTTTACAACACAAATTAAAATGAAATATGAATTAAAAAATATAAAAAAACATAAAAATGATAACTATTTGGTAGATCGCTTTCTTTTATACATTTTAACTGCTGTTTCTCGATTTATTTCCCAGCAAAAATCAGCTAGCATTGCTGGGGTCCACTTGCCGCTGTATCTTTTTTCCATATGTGCAATGTCTTGGTGGAATCTTTCACCATGCTCATCAGACACGGCACCAAGATTTTCTGGGAAAAAATCTAAATGCGAATGCAAGAAGTGAATTTTTAAAGACATATTGCATCCAAGTTGATGATACGACGAAAGCAGTTCTTCTATCAGCTCACGTACGTCGCTCACTTGTTCAAAACAATCACTGCGTTCGCGCTTCGCGCATGTCAGTTAGTTAGAGCAGTAAACAATAGCTTGTTGTTTCTTTCTAACATAGAGACAGACTCAGAACACAACTAAATACAAACATGTACATACTAGACGTGGGTCGTTACGTCATTTTCAAGAAACGTAACGAAACCAGTGACTTGATCGGCGTCACCTGTTTCAAAACTAGTGATTTTTGTAACTGGCTATTTTTTCGGCTACTGTGATTGTTTACATAAATATCACCACCAACTATACAGTTACTCACGAAACGAAAATAAATTTAATCACAATCTGTGTTTGTATTTGTAACTGTATACTGTTAAATCAATAAATTAACTTTTCTTCATACTTTATTCAGGTTTATGACTGACTGCATTAAAAGTATTTATGATTGATTTGCGTTTACACTAAGATTTTCATAAAATTATTAATGCAGTTATATTTACAAGTAATTTTGATTGTATATATAATGATTATTGATATTTACAGTTTATTTACACTTTTGCAACGTTTTCACTATCATTTGTTTTTGCACTTTTATTTACACTGTACAATTAATTTGTTTGTTTGTTTGGCTATTTACACACAGTTTTTAAGTTTTATAATATTATAAACATTTAAATTTTTCAATTAAAAATTTATTTTAATTTTATGAATAAACGAGTTCATGACTCCGTCAAAAATGTTTTAAAAATTATTTTAATTAAATTCAATGTGACTCGCTTCCCGGAATCGCAAACCGTTGAAATTATTTACAAACAGAGATTACTCTATTTTATTGTCTATGTCTATAGTCTTACGTATGAAAATTAAACGTACAGTAATACTGTTACTTACGATGTTTTGTTTATTGTTGTATGCCACATGTGCGATTTGCGCTCGACCGACCGACAGTCGACTCCCGCAATAATCATGGTTAACAGTAATCATAATCACGCATTTACAAAAATCACTACTTGTAACATGACTCGAAACTAGTGATTCGGTTACATGCCGCGTAGCCAGTTACTGTATCTAGTGACGTGAAATAACGCCCACGTCTAGTACATACCAACGTTCACAAATACCGCTGCCTGCAACTATAAGCAAACAATTCTAGTGCAAACAAAAAATGCTATTGCGTCGAAACTAGACGTGCTAGGTGAATTCTAACTACATATTTGGATTTAATGTAACTAACGTAATAACTTCCGTATATACATTTTTTTGCTCTTATTTTGATGCCGACCAGTGTAATATGTAAACATTGAGTAAACAACGTAACAAATAAGATATGTAAACAAAATACATCTGCCATAAGTCATTGGGCCGAGACCACGCACATTCAATGATACACACATTAACTAAACGACCGCTTAAACGTTTTTGTGAGAACTGTGCACAAGACATTATGGATGTTCGTTCAAAGTTTATTTCCAAAATGGTATGTACAATTATGATATATTTTTATTTAATTTTATATTTTTTGTAGAGAATTTTATTGCAGAAAAATTAAGACTAATTTATAAGACCACGTCATTTATTTTCATTCTATTGCTGTCGATAGAGATCGTCGAATGTCTAAAAAATTACTGATACAAAAAAATGTTTTTGTGTGAATTTGCTATGGCTAAGATTCATAAAACGATCCATAAAAACTCGCGTGAAAGAACACATAGCTGACGCGAGGCGTCGACGCTCGACGCTACTCATCGATTCTTACTAAGGATGATTCGCGAGGGTATTGAAATTATAAAAACATTCTATGGTCAATAGAGAAGTTGTGGTGTCAAGTGCTATCGTCTGCCTTGGGAAAGTAAATATAAGTCCAAGCATACTACTGCAGGATTCAAGATACTCTAAGCTCGTTTTACAATACAATATAATAAATTTATTTTAGGCATCAAGGACTTAAAAATTAAAAACATTGGCCCATAGCAATACTATTATATAATATACAATATCTTAACCTAAAAATATACATATGAAAGCGGTCTAGATGAAACCCAAAAGGTCCACACGACTAAATTCCCAGTGGAAAGAATAAAAAATTGTCATATTTAAATTATTATATTACATATTTTATACAATTTTTCATTCGGCGTAAAAAACGACTTGACCGATTTTGCTCAAAATTTAATGAGTTAAGAATAATTATGCGTTAAATGAAACTAGTCACATGTCAATATCACTCTTTGTTCTCGAGATACACGAGGCGAAAATTTAATCCGAACATACATACATACGTACATGTGCACACACGGGTGTCCTCTTAAAATCTTAAAAACCATACTATTCGACTCTAAAGACCTTGAATTTAAAATTTTGAATGTTAAAATTTCCAATTTGCAAAATCGGATCCATTACAATAACTTCCCACTGGGAAGTTAAATATAAATACAACACTATTTAGGGAACTTTCTTCTTTGGCGTGTCCCTGTATCGGTGAAACACTATCCCAGAGGGCTAGAAATCGGGAGCGAGGAATGTCTCTTTGTATTTTGCGGGAACCTGGAGTATGTAGGATTTGAAGTACGTTGACTTATTAGACTCCAGACTCTGCAAATGTACGGCATCAGCTTCGTTCTTCCACGAAACGCAGGACGTCTTCTCCTGACGTACTTTTGACTAAACGGGAGATGTAGAGCTGTTGTTGGGCTCCACAATACGCAGAGTTGTACTTGCGTTTATTTTGGCGGTCCCACGCCGTTTCAAAAATTAATATTTAAAAGTTCAAGGTTCCTTAACTATGACATCAGGACGTCAAACACCTCAGTCCTTCCGTGACCATGGGTAGTGTAAAGCGCCCGAAACGTCGGGAATCAAAAAGTTAAAATTTAACGCGATAAAATCTGTAAAATTAGTTTAATTTAATGTACAGTATTCGCGTAAATATAAAAAATCATTAGGATAGATGTTGTGTTATGAGTGGCTCACGACACTAGTTAAATGGCGGAATCGAAACCACAACTTATCGAGGTTGCCCTCCGCACCCATACAATGAGACTGATTGTGCTTCCGTGTACATGAATATTGGGACCTGGCAGCTACGGGTGCGCGGCGGCGGAGGCTGCGGCGGTGGCGCGCTCGGTGGAGCGTACGGTGGTGCTGCACCGCGCGCGGCGCGGCTTCGGCTTCGTGCTGCGCGGCGCCAAGGCGCGCTCGCCGCTCATGGAGCTGCGCCCGTCGCCGCGCTGCCCTGCGCTGCAGTACCTCGATGACGTGGACGCGGGTGGCGTGGCGGACCGCGCCGGCCTGCGCAAGGGCGACTTCCTCGTTGCGGTGCGTCCCGCACCAACCCCTACCACCACTCACCTTACACTAACACAACGCATCTTACACTAATACAACTCGTCTCTCACTAACACTACTCACCTTATGGCGGCTCCACATTATCGCCGTGAAGCTCCGTAAACAGGCATGAACGTGAATGTGGATGGTTTTCTCGGGATTCACGCGCGTTCACGCCTTTTCTCCGATCAGCGTCGGTATTTTGTCCCGCGACAAAGGGTTCACGCACCCTTCGCGCGGCGTTCACGCGTACATATCCACATTCACGGCCTCGTACCAGTCCGCTTCGGTTACACTAATACAACGCATCATACACTAATACAACTCATCTAACACTAACATAACTCATCTTACACTAATACAACTAACCTTACACTAACACAACCCATATTACGGTAATACAACTCATCTTACATTAACAAAACTCATCATACGCTAACACAACTCATCTTACACTAACACAACTCACCTTACACTAACACAACTCACCTTACACTAACACAACACATTAAAATATGTGTAGTGTAAGCACTAACACCACATCTTACACTAATGCCACATATTACACTAACACAGCACATCTTGCTACACAGCACTTCTTACATTAACTTACGCAACATCGCAACGCATCTGTAACGAATTACACAAGACTTCCCTTTACTAGTATTAACTGCTCCTACTGACATCCCATCATATAAGAGTTGTGTGTATACGTGTAATACACACAGCTCTTATATGGCGAGATGTTACAGCGTTTACATTTTCTAGTTTTTAAATAATTTTTATATTTTCCTTAGCTATATAAATCAACTTTATTATACATTATAGTTCGTCTTGATATATACAACGTGTAAAAGCCCATTGTTGAACATAGACCTCACTTATTACATTGCCTCATTAGGGTATATTGACATAATTTCTACACTTGACAACCGTAGTTTATATTATTTTGTTGCTTTTTGATCTGTTATCTCTTAATACATGGAATACTACTTATACGGTAATGGAATTTCTTACACCACCACCACACGGATCTTATCTATAATAATTGTTCACATTTCTTAGAATGTATTTATTATATGTAAGTATTGCTATTACAGATTAATGGTGAAGACGTATCAGCGGCGTCGCACGAACACGTAGTGGAATTAATTCGGAATTCGGGAGCTCTCGTCTCCATGACCGTCGTTTCATTAAATACTAATGGTAAGTACGAATCCGTTACTTGGGAAACGTCCAGTGATATTTTCGTTTTCTTTTTCTTTCTATTATATCATTTATATATAGAATCCAGCTTGTGAGAAATTGTTACGCGATTACCGAAATTATAGATCTATTCAACCAAATATTAACTTCGTGTCAGCACACACGTAATTGAATTGAGTTGAAAATTGAGTAAGACTACAGTAGGTCAAAATAGGTCATAATTAATTTATACTTTTTTAATAAAAACAATTTCAGCAAAATTGTTATCGATAATAAGCAAAATTATAAATAAATCTTCTTATGTTTCATAATTAATGGTTCTTCAAACGCCGTTACCGTTATAGTGTCTCAAAGAACTGAACGTAGACCTCCTTCCCTCGAAGATTGCTTTGTATGGGGAGATATAATATGCCACTGTTGCCACGCTTGGCAGTTAGGGTTTACAACCGCAGTCTTTAACTTTTTAATTGTTATTATGAAGACAATCCCCTGGTTTATATCTCTCTGCCGCCTCTTTCGACATCCAGGAGACCATATGGGGTAGTGAATATTCTTACACTACACGGTCAATACACAATAATCTGTTACTTCAAACGATAAAATATCAAAAATAGTTTTTTGTGACTTAATTTTATTTCTGCGACATCTTCTAATCATACGAGTATATCATAGGTGAAGACGTTACAGGGCGGCAACTCGTCTATGTATATATGTTTATACTCTAGGTGGGGAGTGGTGTCTTAGGCTTACACACACTTCTTAATATTAGATGGATTGATAGTCGCCCTTAACTCTGAAGTAATTAAAAAAGCAGACTATAAACGGGTTAGAAACTGCAGCTATTCGTTACGCAATTCCTTTATCTCATTGTAGGATTTGAGCAAGAAGCAAAATTATACTTACAAAAATATATTTAGTTTGGGGTTGAGGGAGTGAATGACCTTTCATCTAGGTCCGTGCCTGAAAAGATAATTCAATAACAGGTGCGAGTGATGAGGGCGCGTGCTCGGTGCCGGCGAGCGGCTCGTGCAAGTCGCAGTCGCAGGTGGCGGGCTGCGGCCGCGCCTACGCCGCCACGCTGCCCAGGAAAGCCGCTGGAGGTCAGACATATCAAATTCTTGCAAAAATAAACCAGACATAGTGACCTTCTTGTAACGTACAACATGCACATTCTTAAAAGCCATCTCGGATTCGTCTCAGATGTTCCCTTATTGTATGACATGGACAATATTTTTTGTTTCAAATACTTTTATATAGATCTATGCTCTCTTAACTTTTATTAACTAGGCTATACTTCTTTAAGGGGAATGTATTTAATTTGGATAATGTTTCTTAGTCAAAGAAACTATTTTATTCTCTTCAGATTTTTTAAATTAACTTTTACTTTGAATTAAAAGTCAAATACCCATTTGAACTAAGAAATAGCTCAGCGTCTAAATAATTTCATTAAAAATTTCATCTCCTATTTTTCGCACCAATTAGGGATAGATTTCTTCCAAATATGGAAATAATATAAATACAATAAGCAGGCATATAAATACAATAAGAGGACCTCTGAAGTAAAACTTAAAAAAAAAAGAATTTTTGGGAAAATATCGTAAAAGTAACATCTGTATCTTAAAAATAATCAGGAATGAACGTAAAGGTAGAAAGACTGGTCCCACGTACGCAACGTATACAACTCATTATAGCACCTGGATTCCTGATTTTTGTACGAAAAACTAGGCTTGGGTAAAAAATATCGATATTTATCGTCGATAATTTTAATCGCGATATATTGATATTCTATATTTATTTTAGAGTATCGAATTTGTATTAATGTCGATATATTTTAAAATTTTAAAAACAATTAAGCCAAAAAATCAATTCCAAAAGCATTCATTTGTTGTTGTTTTTTCGTCGTCCAAACGTCCGGTAATAAAATTTCGAAATAGTGATATTTCTCTTTCTATTTATCGCGATATCGAACTACTCGTACCTAAGCAACTACAAAAGGATTCATTTGCTGTTGGGTTTTTTCGTTGTCCAAAAGTCCAGTAAGAAAATTTTGACCCTCATCCTACTACATCATGCAGAACATGACGATATATAGATATATTTGCCCATCCCTATGAAAAAGTATTCATTAGAAACACACATGACGTATGCAACACAATCACGCATCAATACATAGGTGAGCATACAATATCTGTTTGTTAATTGCTAAAACAGGTAAACCACACTTAATCGAAGAAACGTTAATTTTGCCGACAATAAAAGAAGTTGTATCTACTGCGCTCCATAAACTGGCGGCAGACAATTCGAAAAATTTCTTTGAGCAATGATTCTGTGCAAATTGATGAAATAGCTGTAAACATTGAAGAGTCATTGTGCAATCATCTGAATCCACTTTACCAACTAATGAAGCACTGTTGCGGTTACTTGAAGTTTATTGAAGATGAATAAATATGTCAAGAACTACTAGAAATTTAGAGACAGGCACAAAATTAGAAACCATATTTAAAACACTGGAAAAGTATTGTGATGAAAAAGGAATTCCTTTAAAGAACATTATATCAGCTACTATAGACGATGGTCTAGCTACGATGGGGTGTCAAAAAGGCTTCATAGCATACTTAAAAAACAAAATTTCAGATATGCTTGTTGTTCATTGCATTATACATCGACAACATTTGGTTTCTAGAAATTTAAGTGGACAACTTTTTCAATCATTGCAACATGACATCTGAGCAGTCAATGTTATCACAAATGAGTGCACGATTCATTAGTTTTCTTTCAGTGAGCTCGTGTAGTACTCAAATATCGATTTTTTTTTGTATAACCAGACTAGAGATGTGCCCCTCACTCATGAGGTGCCTCGTTTGAGATACTCGTGATCGCAAATTGAAAGAGTTACTCGATTTTCAATATTGAACCACCTCACTCGATCACGCGTCCTCACTTAAAAATTGACATAGACTTTATTGACACGAGTACTCGCGACTCGCGAGCATCGCGATTGAGTGAGCTTAGCGAGCGAATGAACCGACTTAGAAATCCATATTTACAGTACAGAATAAATTAGAGAATGAGTGAGGTGAGGAATCGAAATTTTGAAAACATTAAACATTATGATTGTCTTATGTAATTAATGAAATAATGATGTTTGGTGTGTGTATGTGTGTGTGATACTGATGTTTGGTAGGATGTTATTTAAATTAAGAAGAGATACAAAAAATTGTGTTAAATGAGTTGCAGGGTAAATAAAACACACGAAGCAAATAAACTGAGTGTATTAATTGAGATCAAGGATAAAAAGTAAAAAAATAATCGTATTGGAAAAAACGCGTTTTTCACAATCACAACAATATCAACAATTACTTCACCACACGTGCACCTCCAAGGTCAACATAGGTAAAGTAACATTATTAGTTACTCAAAACGAATTAAAGAAAATATTTTTATTTCTGCTATTAATGTGAATCTCTAAACGTTAACTATGAACTCTAAAAACATAAGCATTAGATTTTTATTCAAGTGTCATTGATTCGTTTATTTTGGCGGAATTCATGAGCGTAAGAAAATAACGTGTGTGAGGGAGACGTAAAAATCGGAATCGTGAGTACTCGTGAGTCGACGCGCCCGTCCGCCTCGCTTGCCGCTGCCTCGGACAATCGGCTGAGTTCGATTCGAACTCGGGCTCGGCTCGTGAGGTGATTTCAATACGCTGACGTACGATACCTCGCCTCAAATGAGGGGTCCCTCGTGAGGACCTCGCGAGGTAAAACGAGGTGCTCCCTCAACCTCATATAAAAATGATGAGTTACCCATCACTAAATCAGACTTTTTCAAATGGATCAGAACTGTTTTGTTGTCAATCTTTAAATCCTCGGCTATGTCACAACTACTAATATACCGATGATGCACCACTTTTTAGAAAACGGCATCGACTTTTCCGTATGTGGCGACCAGAGCAAGCTGCATGCTGCATCTTTGACATCGAAATTCCCGGACGGAAAACGCTTTACATCTGCATTAGGTCCACAAACGTCACAAATTTTTTTCGCGAATTCAGACGTAATATCGAATTTCTGAACGAACTTCAGAACGTAATATCGAATTTCCTCGTTAATTCACTCATTTTTGTGCACATAAAACAATTAAAAATATCGGGAAAGAGTTTTATACTTTTCATTTTTCTTTTTCTTAATGTCCTATAATTTTTTATAGTGTAAGGATGACAAATGAGCAGACAGTCCACCTGATGTTAAGTAGATGCTGTGGCATATAGACATCTAAATCTTCTATTAAAAATCAAAATACGGATGCGTTGCCAGCCCTGAGGACTGAGATGGAATGCCACGTTTCCAGTAAAAAGGATCTCTGGTTCTTGACACTCACCATACGAAACTCAGCACCATTAAAGCTGCTGTTTTACGTTGGTATTCTGTGAGAGCGTGGTCCTTCCCCGGTCGAGCCGACCCATTCGTGCTACAACCATAATATAGCTGCAGCATGTACTCTACAACGTAAAATAATATGCTGTATGTACTGATATTCAAACCACCAAAGAGATTTTTCTTAAATTTTATACAAACAAAATACGAAGAAACTTTTCCCCCGACCTTTATGACATCTGGAAGTGAATTTCTGTCCCGCCCATGACCATGGGTGCTCTAAAGAGCCCATAATATCGTGAATATTAAAAAGTTACAATTAGACGCGATAAAATCTTTAAAATCAGTTTAATTCCAAATTGACTTTCTACAATCGTTAACGCTGTTAGAAAAGTACGAAAATTAATGGGGGTGATAATGTCACGTGATTTAATGTAGAATTCATTTATTTTTATAGCTTTTCATTTGTGTCAACTATAAGTAGAAAGTAATTTAGCTAGCCTTGCCTTGATATCCTAAAAGTGTATAATTTTACCCTTTATGATACCTATAGGAAAAGATTCTAAAAAGAGTAGTAGGTTTTTAGTCAGAATAAAATATTTCCTACGGGTGTAAGGGTTGGATGGTGGCAATAGATCATACTGGTCACGGTTATATTGGTAGTATTGGGACTGTATAGCTGCTTGCACAAAAGTTTTACTTCCAAATGTCATCGTCACGCACCGTGCGCAAGTGAGGATGATATTTGCTTTGTTCTGATTTTAAAATTTTCGATTTTGCTGCAAGAAACTCTGTGTATGGAGTATGTGTATTTTCTTTTTATGTATAAATGCCAAATCGAAATGGACAAATACGGATGAGAAGTTAATGTGGTGACATGCGCAGGTCGCAGCCCGGCGCCGGCGCCGCCGCGGCGTGACCCGCGCACCACGCTCAGCGTGGGCCGAGCGCGCGCCAAGTCTATGGTCGCCGGCCTGGGTCAGTACGCATTTGCTTCTAGACTATGCACACATACACACTATCCGCGCACCACGCTCAGCGTGGGCCGAGCGCGCGCCAAGTCTATGGTCGCCAGCCTGGCTCAGTACGCATTTGCTTCTACACTATGCACACATACACACTACCCGCGCACCACGCTCAGCGTGGGCCGAGCGCGCACCAAGTCTATGGTCGCCGGCCTGGGTCAGTACGCATTTGCTTCTACACTATGCACACATACACACTATCCGCGCACCACGCTCAGCGTGGGCCGAGCGCGCGCCAAGTCTATGATCGCCGGCCTGGGAGAGTACGCATTTGCTTCTACACTATGCACACATACACACTATCCACGCACAACGCTCAGCGTGGGCCGTGCGCGCCAAGTCTATGGTCGCCAGCCTGGGTCAGTACGCATTTGCTTCTACACTATGCACACATACACCTATCCGCGCACCACGCTCAGCGTGGGCCGTGCGCGCCAAGTCTATGGTCGCCAGCCTGGGTCAGTACGCATTTGCTTCTACACTATGCACACATACACCTATCCGCGCACCACGCTCAGCGTGGGCCGAGCGCGCGCCAGGTCTATGGTCGCCGGCCTGGGTCAGTACGCATTTGCTTCTACACTATGCACACATACACACTATCCGCGCACCACGCTCAGCGTGGGCCGAGCGCGCGCCAAGTCTATGGTCGCCGGCCTGGCTCAGTACGCATTTGCTTCTACACTATGCACACATACACACTATCCACGCACCACGCTCAGCGTGGGCCGTGCGCGCCAAGTCTATGGTCGCCGGCCTGGGTCAGTACGCATTTGCTTCTACACTCTGCACACATACACACTATCCGCGCACCACGCTCAGCGTGGGCCGCGCGCGCCAAGTCTATGGTCGCCAGCCTGGGTCAGTACGCATTTGCTTCTACACTATGCACACATACACCTATCCGCGCACCACGCTCAGCGTGGGCCGAGCGCGCGCCAGGTCTATGGTCGCCAGCCTGGGTCAGTACGTATTTGCTTCTACACTATGCACACATACACACTATCCGCGCACCACGCTCAGCGTGGGCCGAGCGCGCGCCAAGTCTATGGTCGCGAGCCTGGGTCAGTACGTATTTGCTTCTACACTATGCACACATACACACTATCCGCGCACCACGCTCAGCGTGGGCCGAGCGCGCGCCAAGTCTATGGTCGCCGGCCTGGGTCAGTACGTATTTGCTTCTACACTATGCACACATACAAACTATCCGCGCACCACGCTCAGCGTGGGCCGAGCGCGCGCCAAGTTTGTGGTCGCCGGCCTGAGTCAGTATGCATTTGCTTCTACACTCTGCACACACACACTACCCGATTACGGCAATTATCCCATGCTACTTTTTAACATCTAATACGATAAGGCTACAAAAAAAAAGTTATAGAAGTTGCAACTGCAAATGGAATTTTTAATTACAGAAAATGGTGGAGAGAAAGAGGAAACTTGTGAACAGTTAAGCGTAGTTGGCAAATCGTCTTCGGCTGAATCTGTACAGTTACATTCCGTCAGCAATAGTAAGTGGGAATATTAAATTGAATTTCATTCCCTGTATGTTTTTACCGTTGGCCTATAAAGAATACGTCCTATCCGTACTGGACACGAGTTATTTTTAATGATAAAGAGTGTTTGTAATCGTATGGCTTAATGTTAAAGTAGGACTGTTTTAAAATGCATAAATATTTTGTGAGATGTAAATATGTGACGAACTTTAGCTGCAACAATTATAATTTTACAATGGGGGATATGAAACGAACGCACACAGTTCACCTAATGGTAAGTGAATTTTGTAGCCCACGAACCTATGCTTATCCTCGATAAGAATCGAAATACTTGTCAATTAAGGACTGATATGTGATGCCACATTACCAGCAATATGGGGGTCTTTGTTTCTCGTCTCCAAACTTAAGAACACAGCAGTACTGTGCTGCTATTTTACTTTATAATTGCCATTCGTGGTCAGCCATTCTAACACTTTTATGTTGATACTAGCGCACCTCATAACCATTAAAACACTATTTTTACACATTTTATTCAAAAAATGATGTCATTACCGACTTGTATTATTTATTTCAATAAATAAATACTGAAGCCTAAACGACGCTATCAAAGTTTCGAAGTAATGCGGTATTTAGGTATTGTTATAAAAGAAGTTAATATATAAAAGTAATCTTTAGTTATTTAGTTTGTTTCAATTCAAAAACATATTCTTTTAACTTTATTAGTATGTACAAAATAATACCGAACTTAGTTGATAGCGCCCTCTAGTGTATTTCTTGGTTATTTATAATCTGGACACCATCTTTGTCAGAGTGGAAAAAAGCCATAGAATAATATAATACATATATAATATAGTATTCTATGGAAAAAACTTTCCTAGTTTTGTCACCTAAGAATTTCATAGAGTGGCTTACATATATAGTATATTAGCTATGGAGTTTGACTTTGTATGCGTCATCGCAGCCGGTACGACGGTGCCGGGCGGCGGCGCTGCGGGCTCGGGGGGTACCGCGGGTGCGGGAGGTGTGGCGGGTGCGCGCACGGCGTCGATCCGCGCACGGCCCGCGTCGGGGCGCATCACGGCCGCTGAGCTGGAGGAGCTGTTCCAGCGCCAGGCCGGCGCCGACACGGACACCGACGCCGACGCTAAGTACGTACGCGCCTTACACAGACACACTGTTTTATAACATTTTACTCACAAACCAACTAACGTTCAATCTGATAATGCCCACGTGTACCTGCAACCAACTTCAATTAAACGTGTTGTTACCCATAAAGTCTAAGCTGGTATGCTCATAACTGTATTAAATATCCATACAATTCAAACTGAGACTGGTTTAAATGTAGAAGGTACTGCGTGGCGGCAGGAACGAATAAAAAGGTGCTACCTAACCCAATTATAAACCCTCATAAGCTCATAGACATTCGGCTATTAGATATGGACCACAGAAATTACGCCGATTAAAAAATCTCTAAGTCAAATCTCGGACATATATCATAAGTACATATAATAAAAGGTCGGGGAAAAAGTTTCTTCGTATTTGTATAAAATTGAAACAAATCTCCTTACTTATACTGTTTCTATCTAGCTGGTTACATTATCAATAGTACTTATAGTATAAGGACATTAAGAAAACAAAAGTACAAATTAAAAAACACTTTCCCGCCATTTTTTAATTGTTTTCCTGTCCACCAAAATTAGTTAATCTAACGAAGAAATTCGATACATTCTGAAATTTTATTAAAAAAAAATGAGAAAAATGCGACTCAAGCCGCGAAAAAAATTTTTGACATTTATGTACCTAATGCAGTGTAAGTAAAACTAGCACAAAATTGGTTGTGGCGGGAATCAGTTCGGGAATTTTGATGTCAAAGATGCAGCTCGGTCTGGTCGCCCTCATACGGAAAAAGTCGAAGCCATTTTTGATAAAGTGGAGCATTCAGCATATTAGTAGTTACGACATAGACGAGGAATTGAAGATTGGCTACAAAACAGTTTTGACCCATTTGAATAAGTCTGGCTATATAAAAAGCTCGATATTTAGCACACGAGTTCTATTTAGCATAAAAAAAAGTTTTAGGCGCTAATGTTGGCTTTTTATCTTCAGGAGCTAAATGTGCTGTTAAAAGAATGTAATTCAAAAGATAGGAGAGTGATTGAAATTTTTTGAGCAGCAGCATTAATAAAGAAAAAAGAGCTATCCTTTAATAAAATTGTAAACTTCTTAGCAAAATGTGTGGTGAAGACTAAAGCTGGAAACAGTGCTCTAAGGCGGTAGTAAAATGGGAATAAATCAGGAAGTTATTATAATCAGAAACTTACGACAAGCGCTTATCTTAGCTTGCAGGGCTTATCTTATTTTCTTACTTAGTATTTATAGCTTATTTAGTATGAATGATCTGCGGTGTGTTGCGTGTTGCAGCGGCATCGGATGCGGCATGATGACTCGCTCGGCGTTCCAGAGCGGTTCGGCTTCGCCGCCCGCCTCGCCCTACTCGCCGTACTCGCCGCACTCACCGCACTCGCCCGCGCGGACAACGCGCGTTTATGCCTCTGTCGCGGAGATGAAGCGAAACCGAGCGAAGGTATATTTATTTATTTATGCTTAAATGTAAACATTCTAAAATAAAAGACAGCCAACCGTGGGGTACAACAAAAAAAAGTTGTAATAAATAAAATACTTCTAGTAAAGAGCCTATATCTTACTTTGCATATGTAAAAATAGGAGTCATGCAATCATTATGAATTTATAAAGTACTAGCTTGCCAGGCAGACGTTGTTCTGCCCTTTTCGACGATCCTTTGTCATGTCCTATTAAAAATCCTTAAATTCGCAAAAAAATTGTGGGTCACTCATGGGCAAAAAACTATCCTATCTCTCAAGTTGGACAAAACTGCACACAGTGCGCAAATTTGATTAAAATCGGTTGAGTAGTTTAGGAGTCCATCGCGGACAAACAACGCGACACGTAATTTATATATATTAAGATTTTTAACGATTTGTTATATTTCCGCCTAAATTATATGTATATTGAATCAAACAACTTACTGGGTTTTATTGTGTTTAGTTTAATTTGTTTTAACTCCCGACGAGGCAACAGAGTTGTTTGTCGTCCCGATGTTACGGTATACTTTTACATATATACTTCAGTTTTTAATTAATAATTTAATCCGATCTACGGAGAATGAGCTCACTGTGTCTCCAAGTGTCATGTGTCGTGGTGTGGGTGCGGCAGGTGTGGGGCGGGGCGGGGCCGCTGCGGCGCGAGTTCCACTCGACGCCGGACCTGGCGGCTGAACTGGCGGCGCGGCCCGCGCGCACGCGTTCTAGCGACGACGTGCACGGTACGTACTTGACAAGCGCCTCCCCTCCTTACGACCTTCTCCCCTTTTATCACTTTCCATAGATACTTTTTTATTTTATTAAAGCAATAATGATACCGCTGAGAATATACAGGTATTAAAGTCTATAGGAACTAGTGCTTGTGTCTGGATCAACGGGGCCAATTCAGAGTGATTTAGCATCCACCGAGGTGTCAGACAGGGCTGTGTACCTTCCCCGTGACTGTTCAACCTATTTATGGACAGCTGTTGGGAAACTTTAAAAGTTGAAGAATGTGGGAGAATAGATGAGTTAATTGTCAAATCCCTTTTGTACGCCGATGATCAAGTCATATTTGCGTCGTCGACGGTCAAGATGAAAATGATGGTTACAATGAACGAGTATTTAAAAGAAAGGGGAATGAAAGTGAACGCAAGTAAGACGAAAGTGATGATTTTTGAAAGAGGAGAAACTAAAACAATATGTGAAATGAGAATAGAAGGTGAGTTGATTGAGCAAGTGGATGACTTTGTGTATTTGGAATGTGTTTTAAGCAGAGATGATGACAATTGAACGAAGGAAATAGAGTGATTGGGGCTCTTCACTCTATTGTGGGAAATCAGAATGTGTCAAAGAAGGTATGTGTGGCAATTCACAATGCTGTGTTAGTCCCTACCCTAATTGGTACCCGGGATGGTAGTGAAAGTTGGTTGTGGCGAGAGTAGAATAAATACTTTAAAAATGTGGTTATTAAGGTGTATGCTAGGGTTGAATCTGAATGACAGGGTGAGAAATTGTGTGATAAAAGAAAAGTGTGGTTAGTAAGATGATGATGTGACCAGGATTAAGAAAATAATGCATCGGTGATTTGGTCATGTAGAAAGAATGAACGAGAAAAGAGTGACAAAGCAAACCTATGTTACAAATGTTAACGGTAGAGTTGAGAAAAGACACCCTAGACGAAAGTTTATCGACCAAATTGGCGATATATTGAAAAAATGCCAGATTAAGAGTACCTTTAAGGGGCGATCATGCGTAGGTATATGGATATAGAAGAGGTGAGACAGGTGTGCCAGGATCGTGCCAAATGGAAGTTCGTAGTCTCTGCCTACTCCTCTGGGTGACAGGCGTGAGTGTTTATGTTTATCTAATCATAACAGTATCGAAAGCGAATAAACAAACGAAAAACTATACCTATCGTCGGCCGTTTTAAATGAATTGAATATGACTGTATACTTGGTTGAGCCTTGCTGCAATTGAATTAGTAGTATAGTTGTAGCACGAATGGGTCGGCTGGACTGGGAAAGGACCACGCTCTCACAGAATACCAGCGTGAAATAGTAGCTTAATGCTGCTGTGCTTCGTATGGTAAGTGTAGAGAACCGGAGACCCTTTTTACTGGAAACGAGGCATTCGATCTTAGTCCTCACAGGTGACAACGCATCTGCATTGTGATTCGTAATCGAGGATAGATGTAGATGCTTATGGGCCACAGCAACCATTTACCATTAGGTGGACTGTGTGCTCGTTTGTCACCCTATCCTATAAAAAAAAAATGAAGATTGTATGATGTAGGTGTAGACCGTTATATGTAAAAGCGGTCTAAATGTAAAGTGGTATACAACACGTAACATAATTAACGCACTTTGAGAGAGTAGTATGTTCAGAATCGTTTACTGAATCGATTCCTATCATTTTTAATATAGGTAATTTTTTATCCCAAAAAAATTAAAACTACGTAAATTACGGTTACACTAAATCTTTACAGTCAAAACAAACTGAAATGGACCGTAACTTAAGGCAATAAGACTTTTAAGAGTGCAGTTTTATTTGTATTATTACTAATTCTGTCATTCAATAAAAATAAAGGAAAATGAACTTTATTTCAAGCACGTTAAAGTCTTTGCGTTCGTGGATTTGTACTGTGACCACAACATTCTTCCGGAATTATATAACTAATTTGATTAATAATCAGTGCATAAAAATGTTTAACTAATATTTCAGTGTATGTATTATGATTATAACATAATATACTAATTGGGGTTTCTGAGGGTGTGCGTTAATTACGTTACATATTGTATACGCAGACGGATCGAGCGGGACGCGCGCGCCGCCGCCCGCGGAAGCACCGCCCCCCTCCCCCCGGCGCACCCGCCTCCTCATTCCGGCCGAGCGCTGCCGCTAAGCTGTACGCCTCGCCGCAGGAGCTGGCGCGCGTCGCCTACCGCACGCCCGCAGTAAGTACACACACCGCCGCCTGACACACGTACCTGACTCTACCACCGTTATAGTCTAAAAACTGATCGCTACTTACTTACATGTGACATTCAAACCTCCAAACTAAATTAACAATAAACAAAATTGAAGTTGTATCAAACACGTTAGTGAAAGTGGTAGCAAGTTCTTAGGCTATAACCTAAAGAAACATTCCCACACGTACTGAATCCGCCACTTGTGAAAGAAGAAGAAGTGGGGGGGTTTTCAGACACAGTGAGATTTTTACGTGATAGAGCTGCTCTATTACTGTATCACAAAGGGGATAGCGTGACCGGAAAATCACCGAATTCTTACAGAATACCAACTTATAATAGCAGCATAAAGCAGCAAAAAATACGAATCCTTTTTTTACTGATAACGTTCAATTCTAGTAATACTCTAACGTATACTTACGCAGACATAACACGCATCCACACACATACTGATCGCGCCATGGCGGCATTTTTGTCAAATGCCATTTTGAATGATATTTTTAAATGAAATTTTTTTGTCAAATGCCATTTACCTATCTTGTAAATCTTACACGGTTTTGAAATAAGTTTATTTTAGCTAAAAGAAACGGCGCGGCGGAAGAAACTTCGAGCGTATTGTTTTCTTTGTTTTTTTTAACTAACATTGCACGTGACTTACTTACGAAAATTAAAAATAAAAGGCCCTTGGCCCATTATCATCATCGTCGTAACAGCCTCTCAAAGTCCATAGCTGAATATAGGTCTTTACAGTTGTTTTTTTTTAATATTTGTTAGGAAGACACTGCCAGAAGAAGAAAATTCTGAGATAACACAACACACATAAAAACAAACATACAGTCGAAATGAATATCTCCTCTTTTTGAAGTCGGTTAAAAATGCGGGTGTTGTATGACACTAGGAGCGCAAACCGGCTTCGTTGCGCTCGTGGACGGGTAGTGGCGGGGCGGGCGGCGGGGCGGGGAGCGGTGCGGCCAGCGGGACGGGGCGCGTGGTGCGCGCGCAGTCGGCCGACGACGCCTCACACCAGTACGCACAGCCCTACAACCTGCACAAGCCCTTCCTGCGCCAGGTGAGCACCACCACGTCGCTGGCAGATTCGTTTCGCCGTCAATAGCAAATCGAGTGTTTGAATTTTTATTCTACCTTATTCCGACATATTTGTTATTCGCGTCAAAACTCACTATATACCATCCACAGCATCTTGATACTTGTCGGTCCACCGCTGTACCTTTTCTAGGAGTTTTCTTCCTCGTACGACCACTATGTGCAATCGTTTGCCACTGGTGATTTTCCCGGAACGATACGACTTAGCGACCTTCAAGGAAAGAGGTTAGTCCTATCTGAAAGGCCGGCAACGCACCTGCAGTTACCCTGGTGTTATAGTTGGTCATGGGCGGTGGTAGTCACTTAGCATCAGGTAAGCCGAACGCTCCTTTGCCCGCTATTCTATAAAAAAATAGAGTGGCGATAGATTCCATTTAAACAACATGACTAAGTCCATACGGCGTTTTTATCGTACACAAAAACATCTTCAAATACACTCAATACCGTAATACGTAAAACCTGGCAATTTTGCCATTTTTGGAAAGACTTAAAAATTTAAGACCAATTTACTAACAAAAAATGTACTATCAGACTGTTAATTTTAATATACCTTGCAAATGGAGGAGAAACGAGCAACGGCAAACGAGCCGTTTGCTCCCTCTCCTATAAAAAAAAATTGAGAAGGAAAAAAAATTCGTATCCGTTTCCGAAAAAAGTCAAGGTGGTTGTGTATTCTCTCACCTGTTTCCGACACGACCGAATTACTAACCAAACTGTACCACTGTCGCTCACGACAAGTAGATGAAATTTCGTATATTGAACTATCTAATTTCAGAAACCTATCTCATATTAGGTTCCTTCACCCTACACTTGTTATCTGAACTGCATGTTTGTTTGTTACTCTTATTAATTATATATAAAAATATAACAGAACTCAACGCCAGCACCGCCAATCCCTGAGCCAGACTACAGTATGTCGGAGTCGGACGACGAGCCCGACAAGCCGGCAGAGCCTGTAGCCGAAACCAGCGCCAATAGCAATGCCAGGTAACATCGCGCTCAACAACCGAATCTAGCACTTACATTTAATTAAACCATCTCAAAAGGTCAACGAGTTCATCGTTGAGGCTAAAAGATGAGCATATGTCACAACCCCAAACGATTCTAAATAAACTAGGTATTGATGTTGTGAAGGCAGTAGTTGAACTCTTCACCGAAGCTAATATGCTAATGTTACATAACTGGTGGTCGAGCCCTATCATCTACAATATGTAGGATAGTAAGAAAAAATCTAACCTTCGCAAATGACCGAAGAATTTACTTAAGTATTGTTGTGGATTCATTTATTAGTTCAAATTAGAATGTGCTTCTAGTTCATAGTTAACTTTATTTTTTAATGAAGCTTTATTACTGTTTAAGAAGTTTTATTACTTATATAAAACCGATTTACTATATCTAAGTTTGTTATTATTTTTATTGCTTAGAGTTTAGGTTATAAGATTTGCAATTACGAACTCTGTGTAGTAAAATTTTATTGTTATGATATTTTCAATTTCAGACTGTTTGTGTTACACTCGACTGTTTATGAATCCGATGGGGAGATATACTGTTAATAATTGGTGATTAATAAATATTTTTTATCAAGGTACAGTTTCCAATTAACACTATTGTGCTGTGTTGGAAAATGCTTCGGGAATGTGTTGTTCTACCCACGTAACGCTAATGTTTTTAAAATGTGTGCCGTTGGTGTCAAGTAACTCCCAATCGTGAAAACATTCACAAAACACCATAAACCGCTCCGTTCGCCTTCATCTTTCATTATCAGCTACTTCGTTTTTATTTTAAAAGCTTTTTATTTTAATTGTTAAATTAACCTATTTGTTTTTGTACATATTTTAAGTAAAATAAGTAGAGAGAGAGAGAGAGAGAAATGGTAGAGTATGGTATGGTAGAACCACGCTACAGCTATATTAGTAGTATCGTTGTAGCATGAATGGGTAGGCTCGACCGGGGAAGGACCATGGTCTCACAGAATACCAGCGCAAAATAGCAGCTGAACCCTTCTGCTTTTGCTGGAAACGAGGCATTCCATCTTAGTCCTCACGCGTGACAACGCATCCGCATTCTGATTCGTATCTGAGGATAGATGTAGATGTTTATGGGCCACAGCAATCATTTACCATCAGGTGGACTCTGTGCTGGTTTGTCATCCTATCCTATATAAAAAATCAGTATCACTTTAATAACAGCGCAATTAGGCTTAACTATATGAATTTTAAAATGAGGAGTTTTGTTTGTATTTGGACTTGTTACAACAATTTTTAGTTTTAAATTCTTACTGGATGAACCTAAATTTGCAGCGGCAGCAGCTCTGGGTCGGGTTCCATGCAACACTCGTTCTCGGTGGACGAGATTCAGAAGATCCGGACTCGGCTGAAGTCGTCCAAGTCGTGCGGCGATGAGTTGGGCGGCGGCGAGCGCGATGACGGCGACAACTCGTCGTCCGGCGTGTCGTCCGACCAGGAGGCGCAGGCACGGCCTCGCCGCGACAAGGTCTCCTTCTGCGACTCCGTGACCGTCAAGTCCGGCAACGACGTGATCAGCACCGAGCCCGTGCACAGCTCGTCGGAGAGTCTGGCGGCGCCCATGCAGCGCCACAACTCGCTGACGCGGGCGCGTGCGGCGGCGGTGGCAGCGGGCGCAGGGCGCGGGCGGGGTGCGGGGCGCGGCGCGCGCTCCGCGGCCGAGCGGCTGGGCGTGGACGTATGCAAGGCGCCAGGCCGTGCTCGCGCCGCCGTGTCGCTGGCGCAGCTGCCGCCGCCGCCCGAGGAGCCAGTCGGCGCGCCCGACGCGCAGCCGCTGCTGGCGCCGCCGCCGCAGTTCAGCGACCGAGCACGCGTCGTGGCCGCGCTGCACAAGCCCGCGCACCGCTAGGCGCGCCAACTCCAACTACTGAACACTAGCGTAACGTAGCGTCAAACTATTCTATTTTGTGACGTCATCGCTCACCCACGCCTGCACACCGTCATCGTGCCGATAACCAGACTCCGAGTGCTACTAGCGAGACATGATCTCGACCTAACACTGTTTGACTTCATCACTCGCTCGCACATGCGACTATCGTCGCCGCACCCTTAACCTCACTCGGAGTAGTACTACTAGCTGACATGGACGTCAGACCAGAACTTCGTCACATCATCGCTCGCCCACAACAATATATATCGTCGCCTCGTTCGTGACACTCCACTGGAGCTACTATTACCGTGACGTAGGATTGGACTACATCTTCGCTCGCTGATACCACAGGTTCGTCGCCGGTGGCTATCCTGCCGCATCGCCACCTCGCACTGACATGGAATCCGGTCGCGAACTATACTTACTGTGCATTACGTCTAACTAGTGATCTATAACGTCATCATTTCGCTTGACTGACACTTACAAAATGTTGTCATTGACACCATCACCACTTATGACACTAAATCAACATTATCACTACACTAACGGTCAATCATTGCCGACGAATAATTAACCTCACCATGTCGACGTCAACAACACCATCCGTCAGTTTGGTGCGACTACTTTGATTCCGGAAACTCGAACAGTTCGTGTTCACAACAATAGCATATCACTTTAAACCAGCACGTCTACTTCGCTTTCATACGCTCAAATAATCCGTCATCGAATACGACGTCATCACTACGAACCGGTGTGCTCACTTTAAGCCCATGCACATACTCGAGTAATCGATTCCGATACATTCCAATCAATCGATATTGCACTTCCCAAGATATCCCAACATACGAATTCGCGTTAATATGGACTGAACTAACGACGCGGCCTAGACTTTATACATAGACTTTACATACACGTAGGCTATTAACTAAAATATCTCTCAAGCGATATTCCACCAGAAAGTAGTAATTTTTACAACGTCATAGACGATAGAGCATGCGAGCTCACACTGAGTGTTTAGTGCCAAAATGGAACATTTGTTAAGGATCTTCGCATTAGATATTCAAACCATTCAACTCACTAATGTAAAATGTATTGTGCACTAATTTCGTCGATGTCTCGCAACCTACATTCGATAGGAGTTATTCTTATGAACCGTAGATTATATAAAATTTTCACAATTCCGTACACTCGTGCGCGCGTACCGTGTATTGTAATTAAGCACGCGTTCTTTTGCAAACGGAATATAATTGTATAAGCGAAAACTTTTTGTAATGAAGCGACTATATGAAACCAAAGATTTATAGTATTTATTGTTGAGAATTTAACATTTGATATAGTTGAAACTAATTTTATACATTCCTTTACTGACTAGTTATTAACACGCTATCGATGCATGTGCACTTTCAGTTCCGTTCGATCGTAATGTTGCTTTCAATTAGTCTCCAATGTGTCAAACGTAAGATTTTCAATATGAGTGCGATTTTTATACGAAAATAAAATTAAAATGTGCTCCATTGTTTTATAACGCAACCAAGTGCCATTGTGTCTATAATTTTAAAATATTTTAATAATATATTTACTATGTGTAAATACAAGAGCTATTACGAAAGTCGTTAAAAGAGTGGACTAGTGGCAGGCAAACAAAAATATATCCGGCCAACAGAATTCATATTTAAAAAAATATTATTGATATGTGTACACAATATTTATGAAGATATCTTTAAATATGTTAAAATAATGAAAGTTATAATTCTGTTAATTTATTTAATTCGTCCAACATTTTATGATGTAAGTGTCGATGTAACGGTCCACTCTTTTGACTTGCGCAATTGTATATTATAAATTCTCAAAGGCCAGGAGTTGCTTCAAATGTAAATTTATTTTAGCAAAACAAAAATTATTACTAATTAGTGCATATTGTAACTGATTTGTAACTTTTATTATTATTTTATGTTTTTTGCATTATATCACTAAATACAAAATTATTTATTATTTCATAATAAAATTCATTAAAATTAGTAAGAAATATATTTATTATTAAATAATTAAACATTTATAACAGGATCATGAAACAAATCACAGAAATCAATGATTGATTTTATTATGTTATAACCCCTACCGCCGCTTAGTACCTATACCTTATTGTAAATACATACTTACTAATATAAAATTTCACTGTTTTTATCTCGAGTTTGTAAAATTAAATAGTTTTTCTATTATAATATGTCATGTAGAATCTTAATTTTATGAAATCAGTAAAAACGTATCTACATTGTGTCTATGATTTCTTAAAAAACCTTTGAAAAGCTTGTCATAAATCTGTATTGTTTTTTATAATAAAAAACGACAAGATTTACCCATAGAAAAAAATTAATTTTAGCCCTTATGAAATATACCTTTTATGTAAAAATTTTATATATATATATATATATATATTTCATAATAGCCAAAATTAGAATTAAGATACTTCATACCAGCTTTTATAATATTTGACCTGACTTTTCTAATAGAAAAACTTTTTGATTTCTCTTTCTATTTAAAAAGGTTGTAAAGTAACTGCCTTTACTTCGGGTTTTTGCAAGTAAAATTAAGTTAATATAAATCTTGTGTTATGCAACTTATTTTAAATAGATCAATTGATATTTCGTCTTTACAGCTTGTTTGGTTTTTCCCCTGTCGGCTCGTTAGCAGGGTCTATGTTGAGACGGCGTCCGCGCTGGGTTACAATAAAAATGTTATACGTAATTATGCTTATTTTCGTTATACCTATTCTACCAACTTGGGATAGGCCTTTTACCAGCCGTGGACTGCTCCAATCCATGGCCTTAACATAGGTGATAAGTCACTACCCAACTCCTACATTTAAATGCAATTCCTATGGTAAAATAATACAGGTTCTCCTAACAAATATTTAGCAATACGCAGGTTCATATTTAGGGTCATATTGCGAGAAAACATAGACACAAACTGATTGAAATTTAGTATTTATAAACTAATTTGTCTTATCCCTAACAAAACCTTTAGTAATTTTCGCAATGCTTCGTATGGTTCTGGTATGGTTGAATGTAACTGTTAGCGAAAATTCTAGAAAACTAATAACTAGTACGAGCCGCCTCAGCATTTCAACGCGATGGTTAGCCTTATCATTAGCACAATTTGTTATTTCTTAAATATTAATGATTGGTGTATTATTTTATTATTACGTTATAACCCTCTTGTCATTAACTTAAGTTGTATAAATGTACTGTCGAATTAAGGCGTAGATAGGTAGTGGTAAATATACATATTAGCGCAATATTTGATGAATCCAAAATAACTAAGGAAAGTAAAGCGGCCATATATTCTACAGGCATATTGATTGCTTAATTTTCAAACATTTGTTTATTTAATTAGAAGTAAAATATTATTCTACAAACCTAATTTTTTTTTATAATAAACTGTAAGTGGCTATACAGCACTCACCTGCGAACAACTAAAATCAACATAACAGATTTTTTTCAAGCATTTTTTCATACGTGTCCTCATGAGGACTATAATAAAATCCTTGAAAAGTGGAATACAGTTTGTGCACTGCTGCTTAGCTACCCGGACTATTTTTTTATAGGATAGGCTGACAAACGAGCACACAGTCCACCTGATGGTAAGTGGTTGCTGTGACCCATAGACATCTCCATATATCCCCGAATACGAATCAAAATGCAAATACGTTGTCACCCGTGAGGACTAAGATGAAATGCCTCGTTTCCAGTAAAAAGGGTCTCCGGTTCTCTACTCACCACACGAAACACAGCAGCATTAAGCTACTATTTTACGCTGGTATTCTGTGACAGCGTGGTCCTTTCCCGGTCGTGCCGACTCATTCGTGCTACAACTATACTATAGCAACATGGCCCTACCACGTAAAAAACTGCTAACCATCAAAATGACTCCACCATCTAAGGATACAAAGATTATTCACAATAACTAGCATAAGAGGTGGCGACCGTAAAATTTGATAAGCAAAAATATTAATTTCAAATGTTCCGCACATAAATTCATCTCTACCTAGCACAAGCGGAAAAGATAACTTATTATCTTACAGTTAACATTCTGTATAGCCTTATTCATTTCCTTTCAAGGTTAATTAATGTGATTTAGAACTTGAAAACCTTTTTATTTGCTAATTATTACAATTTGTATATAACATTTGAATATGGAATGAAAATTAAGCAAACACACGTTACGTGGCCTCGCTGCTATTTTGTATAATACAAACACTGTGTTTTACATTTCATTTGAATCTCAGTATCAAACGTGTAATTACAACTTGGTATACTTTCAAATGAAAAATTAAATGTTTCATCACTAATTTGCCTGTTTTATTTAAAAATATAAAGCATCACACCTGTAATCCCTTGCGAGTAGGCAATATTTCATTTGTTGCCTTTACCGACATGCTGGTCAATTAGTGTCACGTTCTTTTTGTTATAAGTCCCACCGGGCTTATAAGTCGCAGACCAACATAGGATGGAATTTTAATAGTTAGCAAACTAAGTAAAAACGAGCTATTATTATTTTACATCAATCCAATAGTAATTTTATAAAATCCCGTGCTACTATTTGATAGGAACATGCATTGCAACTTTAGAAGGAGAATAATAATTAGTGATTTATTTCTTTTGCCTTTTATCAAGTCGTCACAAGCAGTTTAATGCTATAACTGAATTTCACCAAAGCTTTGACAGTTTTATTCCAAAATATTGTTTTAGTGCTGGTTTGAACTAGAACCACAGAACAAATAATAGTAGGTACTATTAGAACTAAAATATTCAGGTTTGTTAACGTTAATACTAGAATAAAAATATGTATGTGCTTACTACGCAGAATTGTTAGTAGAACTAGAAGGTTAACTCATAATTTAGTGTCAAAGCAATTCATACGTTATTTCGAACGCGTTAAAGTTTTATTTTGATACTCTACATAAAAGCAAAGATTCACTT